TGTGTGTGTGTGTGTGTGTGTGTGTGTGTGTGTGTGTGTGTGTTCCTCTCACAGGATTTCTCATGAAAATTCAAGTATTTTATTTTCTGTGTTGAAGTAACATTCCGTTCTCTTAGAAGGCATGGGTATTGTGTACATTTGCTTATCTTGTAATGTTATGTTTGGGAATAAAGTGTGGTTAACTCTCTTGCAAAGTTGTTTGTCCTGTTGTATTCTCCATAGTGTTGAGTTCTGCCAATTGCTCCAATATGAGTGAGGAAATCAGAGTACATCTTTTCCCTTTGGGTATTTTTTAAAAAAGCATGGATTATATCATTCTACTTTAAAAATAGTTATAATCGATTGTTTTTTTCTTACTTCTTCTTTACTTACTTGCTTATATTAAGCAAACTAACTTCGTGGACAGAGATAAATCACAGGACAGACCTCAGGTGTCAGAAGGGGCCACCATTAGGAAGAGGACAAAACAAAAGAAGGAAAACATTGACAGTATCTTCCTTGAGGGTCAACAAAACCACTTCATGGCTAGGGAATGTACAACTGGACCATGTTTTTCTTTCTCCCAAATGAAGCCAAAAATCTAGGAAGTAGAGAGTTGTTCTTAAAGAAATGACAATAGTTTTCATAGTGTCTCTAGACATTGTGGCGTGAGTGGCAACCTTTCCTCTTTTCAACAAGGGAATTTGTCACCCTCCATCATACAGCTTCTCCCATTGTAGCTTATCTTTAAAGCTGTCTTGATAAATTTTGTTTCCTCTCAATAGGCCAAGAAAATGAATTATTTCTTCATTTTTTGGCACACCCATGACTTCTTGTACTATTACGATTTTTGGATGAAACAGCAAAGTATCCAAGAGAATATCAGTTACATTCTGGGGTCTTACTCAACTGTTAAGGGTAACCTAGATTCTCATTGAATGTTCTGTTAAATCCCCTGAGAGTATCAAAAATACCATTGGGATAATTGCTTTCCAAGAAAAACTCAATGATTCAATTTACTTTGAGATAATTGGGTCCTAATCTATACCCATCCTATTATATTATTTTAAGATTTTGTTGAGGAATAACTTCTTATAGTAAATATTATGAATTGAATATTGTTTCTGTGTCAGTGTGGCTTGAGGTAATTTTATATTTTCAAGTATCTATCTGAAACAGACTCTAGACAAGGTGAATAATTGCTTCCTGACATCTGGGTGTGTAATATGACTGTGATTAGGCATTTTTTATTTGTAGTGCACTAAAATAAACACCTTCCCATTTAACTACAATTGCCACAAAAATCTAAACAGGTAATACATTTCCTTTCAGTATAATTTATAATCCTTGAGGGGCACAAATTATTGGTAGATAACATATGGAACTCTGTTCAGATGTGAATGTATAGTAACTGAAGGTGATATATTTTATTCTATTGTCATTCTATTAGCATGCTCACTTTAATTCAAATGAGACAGAGTTACAAAATTTATACTTATTAATAA